GGCTAGTTGTGTGAGAGGTTGGTCCTCTTCACTTCGTTTCTTCTCTGCATACTTATAGCAATAAACACCCCTTGACAACATGCTTGGAGATCTACGGTAGCAATCTTTGAAACCAAAGGTAGCGTTATATCTGAAACAACCCAATTAATTTGTTGATCCTGCCGATTACCCTTCTAGAAGCTCACAACAAACGAACGGCTTTGCTGTTGTTATAGAAATAATCACTCAACCTTATTTATAGAGATTTTTACTCCAACTGCTTTCAACCAATGAAATTCTTGTCAACATGAATGACACGTGGCACCATTCTATTTTTTTGCAAAAATGGGTGTAAACAAAATCATTTCATTGTTATCGTATAATATTAATTTTTCATTAAGAATTATTCATATAACAAATAAAATTCTTACATCACATATTAAAAAATAAATAATTTATCTTAATTTATAATTTAAATAAATAATTTATTTCTATAATTTTTTAAAAGACAAATCTATTCTTATCCTTCTATTTGAAAAATAAATTTAACAGTTTTACCTTCACAGAATCCTTAAATTCGTCCTCCAAATAATATGGTAAAAATAAATTCATCTTTCATAAAAATACAGACGTAAATTATTCAAACAACACAAAAGTATGTACGACGCCACACTCCGTCGGCAACCCGTTAACCTCAGGTTTCTTTGGCAATTATTGACCTATTGTACGCTGCTGCTAAAATATAGTGACGTTAGAATAATTTTTATTTTTTTATATAAATTTTATATATTATTAAATAAATATAAATTTAATATTATAATTTTAAAATAAATAAAAAAATTAATTATTTAAATAACAAATAAAATTATATAAAAATAATATAAACAAAATTTTAAATTATTTTTAGTGTCAAAATTCCTCTTTCGTGGCATTGAAACTTTGTGAGTTTGTGTCTCATTTGCCTTTCCTCAAATTTGGTATATAGAAATAATTTTTTGATATCATTTTTTTATATAAATTTTTTGTATCATTAAATGGATAAATGTATTTAATATAACAAATTTCATACAAATTAAAAAAATTAATTATTTAAATAACACATTAAATTATATAAAAAAATTGTTTCAAAATTATTTCCCATCAAATTTTGGATTGAAATGTCAAAACTCAAAAGTTGCCATAAAAATAGCTTCATATTTTGGTTAATTAGTCATACACATTTTTTCCGTTTACTCTCAAGTATTTTATTGTTGTTATTATTATTATTTGCTACTTGTTGTACCGAAAATATTACCGTATTTTTTTAGTGTTTAAAATGCATATAAATAAGTCCTAAAAAAGCTAGTGCAAAAATGGCACACAAAAAACCAAAACCAAATTCTAAAATGCTTCTAGTAAACCATATAGAAGAGCAGAGTACTTTGATATGATGACTCCAAAAGGCAAAATAAATTGTTTTATTCCAGCTTCGAACAATTTGAGATTCATGAAGTTCATCGAAGAGAAAAGTAAAAACTGTTTTCAAGTAGCTTATTTGTACTGGGATTTGCCTAAACATTACAAAGGCTCTTGGCAAACAAAAATGAATGTCTAAAAATCTCAAGAGAAAATACCCCTCTTTGACATTAGAAAAAAAAAAAAAAAAATTGCACTGCATACTAAGGAATGACTAGCCTGCTGCCTGAGATGATGCATTCCTGACTATCAAGTCCCAAAGAATTAAGATCGTCTTTTTTTCTCATAGAATTGGACAGACAACCAATGTTGATTTCTACTGCAGACTATACATGACATTAATTTGGAAGCAACTGCTACCAGAATTGCTATTGCTGGAAAATTGGAGAACCCTTTATTCAAGTCATTGCCTCAAACTGTATGAGAGCCTTGGATGACATTCAAGTCCAAATTCTTAAGCCTCACTACTGATTCTACATGTCCTCTTAAAGTGTGTATCTCTCCCAATCTGCGAAAGGTTCAAGGGTTATTTTAACAACCAGATTTCAAAACATGTTTATTTTTCAGGTTTCCAGCTAAAGAGGGAAAGTCAGAATATATCCAATCTAGTGAAAAACAATGTTAACAGTAATGTTAAGCATGTAGCTGGTAAGAAGCAGAACTTGGAAGCAAGAAGAAAAGTTCATGAAAGAGGTTTTAGCTTGTAATAAAATGTCTAGGATACCTGGCTATTTCAGCACGCCGCTTGGCCTGCTCAGCAATCAAAGAAGATCGTGATTTTCTGCCATTGAACTCGTCTAGACCTTGTAGACCTTGGAGACTCCTCTGAGAACGAACCCACTGAGCTGCCCTATCTTCCTTACCATAATCTTTCTTAGAAGTAAATGCAGTCTGATGGAGACATAATAGACGTATAAAACATTAGAAATATTTGAAGCACACCTTCATTACCTACCATTGGTAGATGATAATTGAAAATAGGTATACAGCATGGAACCGAGTACTAACCTTTCTGTCAAATAAGAGGTTCCAGGCTTCTCCACTCAAAGCATAACGAACTGTGAACTTAATAATATCCAGAGGTACGTAGAAGATTAAACTATATAACCATATAACACCAGCCCATCCCCATCCAATGCCACTGATGTAAGCAAAGCTAATATGTGCGTACACAGCAATTAAGGTGGCCACCTATATAATGATAAGAATAAATACAGTTAGTACAAATACTATTTATAACTCTGACTTGTTTGGTTTCATTCATCAGCAATCAAGTTCTTGTGCCAAGGGTCAATTTCCAATTGAAAAGTTTGGTTATATGTAATTACTCATTCGTTAATTTAGAGAAGATGATAAGGTATGTTACCAGTTGAGCCACCACAAACGCACACATCAAGAGGATGCCTGGCCTCTCCATGAATGACCAACTCTGACTGCGAGTTACAAATATGAGAGCCTGGCTAATGATGCTGACTTGGAGATATATTGCAGAGGAGACTTCCTCACTGTTATCAGATAGAGATCTTACATTGAAGTGTGTCTGCAGCAGCATCGATAATTAATAACAGTAAGCAGCAAATAAAATAATAATAATAATAATAACAGCAAAAAATTTTAAAAAAAAATAACAGCAAATAGCTGCCAGTTTCTACCTCAAAGAAATCAGTATCAACTACAATCCAGTAAAAGAGCACAGTAACCAAAGCAAGGTAGGTTCCAATGACAATGCCAGTGGCAAATATCTCATTAAGCTTCCAACTATCAGGCTGTGGAGATGGCTTAACTCGATCTTTGGAAATAGTCATGATGGTTCCTAATTAAAAATTCAAAGGTTTTGAGAACAATTAGTATGAAGTTATTTTGTTGTATGTA